CCCTCCCCAACCCCCCCCGCCATCCCCCCCCCCGCCCGCTCTGTCTCATCTCGGCCACAGGCTGCACGGCTCCCTGGACGGGGCCAGCGGGAAGTGGACTCTCAGCCGAAGGCGAGGCAGACGCTTCAGACAAGCCCATCGTGCGTCCCAGGCACTTGCCCGCCGGGCGCTCACCCAAGCGTGGAGCCCACAGGTTCCTCGACGGGTCTGCCCTCAAACCCTCCACTTCTTCACCTTGTGCCTTCACTTGACAGCTATATCCCAGCCAGTAACTATGCACTCAGGGGTTTAGTGTTGGGCATCAGTCGCTGACATCACGAGAGAAAAGACCAGAAAAACAAGACACAAGATGCTTCCTGAACCCACACAACCTGTGGAAGGGTTACCGCAGGCGGCAGAGCCCTGGCTGGTGGCTCCGTGGCTAGAGTGCCGGCCTGCGCACCAAAGGGTTTGACTCCCGGTCAAGGGCACAGACCTGGGTTCCGTTCAATCTCCAGCCCGTCAGGGCATGTGTGGGAGGCAACCAATCAATGTGTCTCTCTCTCTCTTCCCTCTCTCCTTTCCACCCACTCTCTCTAAAACTCAATGGAAACATATCCTTGGGTGAGGATGAACAGCAACAGTAACAAAACGTAAACCTGAATCGACATCAAGAAAATGGGAGCGTAAAGGAGCGTGTTAACGGGGCACCATCAGCGGGACCCGGACTCCAGGATGGCCACTGGCGCGCTCACGAGCAGCAGGAACGCGGAACCAAGCCTGCGAGCCACGGGGCCTCCGAGGGAGGGAGCGACACGGCGCATCCGGATCGTCACGCTCACGGCCCGGCCGGTCCGATGCAGACGCAGACCCGCTCACGGAGGGTCTACTACACGGGCACGTGGCTGACTTCTCTCTCAGTTACGTACGGGAGGTTCGCACACGGGCGCCTTACCTAAGCCGGCCCCAGAATAATGGAGACCGGCCACAAAGGAAGCCGGCACGGGCACAGCCAGCCCATTTCACTTCCTATTTGGTGACTTTTGTGTGTATTTGGAAACGTCTACGAGGAGAGGTCGTTAAAGCTTCACTGCCTCCCAGACGTGGAGGACCCGCCAGCCCCGCCCTCCTGGCTCCTCTCCTCCCTCCATGTGCAGCTTCCGCGGCCCAGAGGTCCCCCGGTGGAGCCCGACAGCCCAGAGATCCCCCTGGTGGAGCCCGACAGCCCACAGGTCCCTCAGTGGAGCCCGACAGCTCACAGGTCCCCGGTGGAGCCCGACAGCCCAGAGGTCCCCCTGGTGGAGCCCGACAGCCCACAGGTCCCCGCCGGTGGAGCCCGACAGCCGAGTTCTCCCCGGGACCTGGCTGTAGCTGTGCTGTCACCCTGGGGTGACGCCCGGGCCCCGCGCAGATGTCAGTGCTGCTACTGAAGTGACCCTGTGGCAGGTCTAGGAACAGACATCCCCTCCTCGGAGGGTGAAATGGCATTGAAACGGCTGCAAAGTTTAAAGCTGGGATCACCCACAAAAGTAGCTGCTAAGTTCCCGCCCCACGTCCCCCTGGCTCTGCCCCAGGGGTGTGTGTGTCTGTGGGGGGTGGTGGTGGAGCTAGCCCCGCCCCTAGCCCCGCCCCGCGGGAACTCCCACACCTCTACAGCGTCCTGCCCTTGGGGAGCCACATGCTGACCTGCTGGCTTCCCCGAGGGCGGAAGGAGGGGTGAGAGCACCTCAGCCCGATGCTCACCCTCAGGGTCCCCCTGGAAACAGCTCTCGGGCAGGATCTGGAGGCCCTTCTGCTGACAGACTCTCCCCACATGGAGGTGCTTCCCACAGGACACCCCAGAAAGGCTGCTGAGGCCAGTGTCGGAGCGTGAAGAGCACAGCAGGTGACGGGTAAACAGCGATGATTTCCAGAGCTCGTACACACACGCACAACATACACAGTGTCACACACACACACACACACACACACACACACACACCCCAGTTCCCTCTGAAACCCTGCTTGCCGTTTTCATCAGGCCCAAGGCTGAGAGGAAAAGTGAGGGCCAGACCTTTGAGTGTCGCCCACGGCCCTAGATGGTATGGCTCAGTGGACAGAGCCTCAGCCTGCGGACTGGAGGATCCCGGATTGATCCCAGGCAAGGGCACAGGCCCGGGTTACAGGCTCGATCCCCAGCTGGGGGCGTGGAGGCAGCTGATCCATGATTCTCATCATTGATGTTTCTACCTCTCCCTTCCCTTCTGAAATCAATAAAATATATTTAAAAAGGAAAAAAAAGTAGGCGTCGCCCACTTCAGCTGATTCCACACCAGGTTGGCTAAGGTCTGGCCAACTACCCCCACCCCGACCTGAAGCAAAGCCATGGCTCCTGCCCACATGGGGAGGCCCCACGGGGTGGGTGGTGGGGGGGGCTGGAAGGAGGTACCACAGGGGGCTGTGGGGCCAGAAGGGGCCCAGTCGGCTGTCATCCTTCCGACAGCGCTGCCCGCGAGGGTGCCTGCAGGTCCCGGGCAGGAGGGCAGGGCCCACGGGGCAGGGCACGGAGCCTGGAAAGCAACAGGGAGCAGGCAGACTCAGCCCGGTGGGACAGTGAGGAGCCCAGGGACGAGGCTGGACGGCTCTCTTGGGGGCGGGACTGAAGCCAGTGGAGGAGCAGGAAGGGAGGGCTGCCCATGACTTCCCCCCAGCTCAGAGTCCCGCTGCCTGCGCTGTCGCAGGCACACAGGGCAAACACACAGGCGCTCTTCACACATGACCGACAGAGACTGCTCCCCGACTCCCCAGCACAGGCCCCGGCTGGAGCAGCGCGACAGAACGGATGTCTGGGTGGAACAGGGAAAGGGACAGAAAGAGGAGGAAAAGGGACTAAAAAAGAAAGAACTAGGAAAGGAGAAAGTGGGGAAAGGAGTAGAAAGGAGAGAGAGGAAGTCAGGAGAAGAGGGAGCAGGAGAGGGAGGGTGGGGGAGCTGCGGGGACGGATGCCCTGCCCTACAACAAGGACGCCCTGGGCCTGGAGGACCGGCACCTCCTCTGGCTCCGGGCAGGGCAGGCAGGTGGGTCCCGGGAGCGGCCCCGGCCCGGCCAGGCCTCTGGTGCAGCTGGAGGAGCAGCAAGGCGCCCACCCGGGGCTGAGGAGAGGCTGAGGGAGAGGCACCGGGGGGTTGGCCCCCAGCCCC